CACACACACACACACACACACATCCTGTTGGTTCTGTTTAAAAAAAAACACTGAAAAGTGAGGCATGCACGCTTACAAAGATATAACTCAATTGTGTTCCCAGGAAGAATCTCACAATAAAAAAAGTATATAAATGGGGGATGGGCTTATAGCTCAGTGTAGAGTGCCTGCCTAGTACATGTGAGGTACTGGATTCTATCCTCAGCACCACATGAATAAATAAAGGTATTGTGTCCATCTACAGCTAAAAAATAAGAAATTTTAAAAATATATACAATGATTATTAAGAACTGAGTATTCCCTATGTAAAACAGGAAGATTGCTAAAAGTCTATGAGCATGTAAATGTGATTTAAAGTTAGAAATTCCTTCTCCAGAATGTAGTCAGAGCCTGAGTGGACACAGAGACGATCACATGCCTTGAGAGCACCCTAACTGCCAATGCTCCTCCTGTGGACACCAAGGAAATCGGGCTCTAACCCATTAAACAGTAGTGGCAGGGGACTCAGGCCTACTCCCATTCCTTTTCTCCTGTTCAGATTCCTTGACCAAATGACAGGAATGAGGGGAAGTTGCCGAAACGCTCAGGTGAGATGGCTCTACCTGGAAAGGGTGTCCACAACTCGGGAAGTAAATGGGTACTTTGGCCAAAGACAATGGAGACAAGGAGAGCTCTGCAAGGAGCTTTTTTCCACAGATCTGGCCACTGCACAACACCAGGCAGCTGCTCCCAGAGGCACCACATCACACTTGAGGGACAACACACTCAACAGGGAAGAGGAGACACGAAGAATGAAGCCCTCTTTCCCAGAATTAAATATCTTGACCCAAGGAAAAGAACAAATCCTCCAACACCGAGTATACTCTTCATCTTTTTCAGCTTAATTCCCACAATCCTCACCTGCCCCATGAAATAAACCTGGTAAGAGAAAAATTAATTATTTGCTATTGAGTTTTCCTGAAAACATGATATTATGGAACCATCTCTACAGCAAAACAAGTTTTCTTTTAAAAGCAGACATTAATAAGAAAAACTTTCAGTGATTTTGCGAACACTTCAATGCAGATATCCTTGATAGTCCACGACAATCTTGGGCCATAATAATGTATCACAAATATTTCCAGTAAAAAAAAAAAAAAAAATAAGTTATATTTTAAAAGGGCACTCACAACTTAAAGGTTTTACCTAGATCTTCCTCAATCCCTAGTTGTAATTTCTTCCCCTCCATCTTTTCAATATCTTCATCATTAAATTTATACCATTCCCCAGACTGTGGATCTTTCACATGGGCGATGTAGTGGCCGGAATAAGCACTCACTCCTCTGTGTATGAGGACTGCACTGAGTTCATAGGCGTAAGACCCACCTACAGAAGGAGAGAGAACATAAAGAAATGTCAGCTAACAATATTTCTTACATGCAAACTTGAGTCTATCAAAATTCAAAGCATATCACCTAAGATTTAAAAAAAAAACAAAACACAACTTTTTAGTTTTACAAAGTAACGTAGAAAACAGCATTTTAACAGCATGCCCTTGGGATCTCCATTCCCTCTATAAATTCTACCGGTGGATATTATAGAATTCTATAAATTCTACCAATGTCTTCTGGGCAGTGGGGTTGCTAAGTTACCCGGCAGCCTAGCTGTGCTACACACTTACCAAGAAAACTGCTACTACTCTCCATGCTACAAATATTGGTTAAAAATCACAATAATCAGATGTAATAGTAAAATAAAAAGACTATCATTAAAAGATAAATGTACAAAAAAACTGGGGGAAAGTAATTAAGAAATTTTGCTTTCAAAACAGGCAAGCCATTGGTCAAAGAGTACAAATTTCTAGTTATGATAAGATTAAGTTCTAAGGATCTCAAATAGCATGGGAGATGAGACGTGTAAATTAACTTCATGGTGCTAAATATTAGTTTCACAAAACACATGTATCATAAGACAGTATATCTTAAGGTCATACAATTTTATTTTCCCATTATGCTTCAATAAAGCCGGAAAAAAATAAAATATAAATATGTGTAGGCAAGACGCTTAGAAAAGATAAGATGACACTGTTTGGTCAATGCTATCTCTCATCCTACAGCAAGAAGTTCCAATAGAATTTTGATTCAGGAGGGAAAAAAAAAACGAGAAAAGAGAAAACATTGAGAATTATGGTGAATCTGCACCGAGATTTCTTCATAAGATTTTTACATTCTGATGCCATTTTAAATAAATAAAGCCAGCAAATCACAGCCTTTATATTATACATGTGATTTATTCAAGAAAACACTATATGTGTGCATCAAAATTTTAGCAATAGCCAGGCTTGGTGGTGAACAACTAAAATACCAGAGACTTGGGAGGCTCAGTCAGGAGGTGCTAAGCTACTCAGTGAGACTCTGTTCTCTAAATAAATTACAAAATAGGGGCTGGAGATATGACTCAGTGGTCAAGTGCCAGTGAGTTCAATTCCTACCACCCTGGACCCTGCCAAAAATTTTTTGGCAGTGATTGAACACAGTTGTGCATACCGGTCACCCCAATAATTTACGAGGCTAAGAAAAGAGGTTCACATGCCTAACAACTCAAGGAATACCCTCAGCAACTTTGTGAGACTTTGTCTCAAGATTAAAATATAAAGAACTAGGGATACAGCCGAGTTGGAGCACCCCTGGGTTCAATAACCAATACAAAAAGGGGGAAAAAAGGATAACATATGCTTTATTAAAAAATCAGAATAAGGGGCTGGGGATGTGGCTCAAGCGGTAGCACGCTCGCCTAGTGTGCGTGCAGCCCGGGTTCGATCCTCAGCACCACATTCAAACGAAGATGTTGTGTCCGCCGAGAACTAAGAAAAAATAAATGTTAAAATTCTCTCTCTGTCCCCCTCTCTCTCCCACTCCTCTCTTTAAAAAAAAAAAAATAAAAAAAAAAAAAATAAAAAAAAAATCAGAATAAGGCTGGAGTTTTGGCTCAAGTAGTAGACAGCTCACCCAGCATGTGTGAGGCACTGGGTTTGATCCTGAGCACCATATAAAAGTAAAATGAAGGTATTGTGTCCACTTACAACTAAAAAATATATATATTAAGAACCAGAAAAAGAGGCCAGGCGTGGTGGCACATGCCTGTAATCCCAGCAGCTCAGGAAGATGAAGCAGGAGAATCATAGGCTTAAAACCAGCCTCAGCAATTTAATGAAGCAGAAAGCAACCTAGTGACCCTGTCTCCAAAAAAAGAAAAGAAAAAAGGAATGGGATGTGGCTTAGTTGCTAAGTGTCCCTGGGTTCGGTCTGTGGCTTGAAAGAAATTGGGGGGTTGGGACCAACAGAAAGGGGGGCTGAAATTACCTTGATGGCAGAACAAGAACATACATCTAGCTTAAGTGAAGTCTGGTTCCATCCCCAGCACTACAAAATAAAAATAGAATCCAGAGATGCACACCTATAAGGCCGGCTACTCAGGAAACAGAGGCAAGAAGAACAAGAGTTCAAGGACAGCCTGGGCAACTAAGACAGACAATGTGAAAACAAAAAATAAAAAGGGTTAGGGGTACAGCTCAGTTGTAGAGCGTTCCTGGTATAGTCAGTCAAGTCAAAACTGATTTCACAACCAATTTCTGGACTCTAAAAGCCAATAACCCAACAGACTTCCCTAATTCCACACAATAACCTGAAGAATAGAGACAAGAAGCAAACTAGGTGAAGTATCCAGAGCCACATTCATTCAGTCAATGAATATAACAACAATGAGGCCAAGAAGCAATGTTTGTAGCAATTTCCTTCTGTGGATGTGCAAAATTTAAACCACAGTATTGACAGAGCATCACATCTGAAAGCTTATTTATTTATTCAACACAATCTTCCCCAAAACTTCAATTTCTTTAAAAGTTTTTTTTTTTTCCTGCTTATTTCTATTGTAAGCTGCCTCAATATTCTGGGAGGCAAAGGAGAATTTGTTGAATACTTTAAAATTACATTAGTAGTAAGAGCAAGTTAGAAGAAAAATGGTCCTTCTAATCAAGGCAAGAGCAACAAAAGTATAAGATATTTTCTCTAACAGAAACCATCCGCCTGATAAAATAAATAGAACCCTCCCCTCAAAAAAGAGCAAAAATTGGTTCTTGTTCAAACTATACACAGCAACCCAGGACATGTCAGCAGTTACAAGATTAGGAATTACCGCAGAAACACTGGAACTATGTCACATAACGTTTCTTTTCATTTTTAATATTTATTTTTTTAGTTTTAGGTGGACACAATAACTTGATTTTATTTTTATGAGGTGCTGAGAATCGAACCCAGTGCCTCAAACATGCTCGGCGAGTGCGCTACCACTTGAGCCACATCCCCAATCCCGCCACATAACAGTTCTAATAAAGCGGGTTTTGTTTCTTTCTTTCTTTAGCAAAATGTGAACAGGACCGAGGGTGTAGAAAGTGCTTGTTAGCACCAAAATCAAAAACAAAAGTGAAAGTAAGCATAAAACTCTAATGAGGACTCACAGACAACAATATTCAGACTAAGGTAGTAAGCGTGGATTCAGCAATAAGTAAAATACCCTTTTCATTCTTCCAAATTATTTGTTTTTCTCAGTCCTGAGGATTGAACTGGGAGACCTCATCACTAAGCTTTATCACCAACCACTCACTGATTTGTTATTCTGACATAGGGTCTTGCAAAGTTGTCCAGGCTAGATTTCAACTTAACCATCCGCCTGCCTCAGGCCCCCAAGAGGATGTGATTCCAGGCTACAAATTAAATTGCCTTTAATCATGTCAGTGTTGATGAACCACCTAATGTTTACTCTGTGCTTACTCATAGAAAATGGAAATAACTGGACTAGGGTTGTGGGACAGTAGTAGAGCACTTGCCTACCATGTATGAGGCACTGGGTCCAATTCTCAGCACCACAAAATAAGTAAATAAAAAAACAAAATGGAAAATAACATCTTGTCTGACCTCATAAAACATCTGTTCCCAGACAGATTAGCAAACAGAAATTACCAGTAAATTGTTACTCAATATTTATCAGAATATAGATTACAAGCTCTAATCTCCCTCATTATTTTTACTGCTTGGTAAATATATTACCTTTATGTTCCACATAAGGCTCCATATCCAAAATTTCTGAGAAGCCAATGTAGGTATTCAGCTTTTTTTTATGCCCAGTTTGCCTAATAAAGAGGAAAGCCAGTTATATTTAAAACACTCAGAAGACAATGAATAAACTCTATCAAGTCAGTTTAATAAACAACAGTAGTTAGGTTTCGTTTAGCAATCTTGCATAAAAGCCTGTACAATTCGATAATCACATAAACAATGACTAACAGATTAAAAAGGTATCAACGCAAAGTACTGATTCCAAATATAAATTGAAAAGTATAAAACGTGCATATGTACAAAACTGCCTTGATTTTAAATACAAATGAAAGACATATCCTCATGGAAGTAGAAGTTACTATAGTAAGTAAAAAAAAAATTACTTAAAATTGACAGTAATAAGGAATGCAGAGGTGATTCAGTTCACTGCAGTTTTTACTAATAATTCTTAGGATAAAAAAGATTCCCTAATCTTCTAGTTCTTGATTACATATAATTGGCTTAAAGAATTTTATGATAAAATCATAACATGCTAACTCTTTGAAATCACAGGTTCCACGTGTAACTTGCACAATCTAATCCAGAGTTTCACTTGCCCCCATTTATCATCCTGCCCAGTACAAGTCTGTCTCAGTCCATGCACTTCCAACATGCACATTCTCACCTGTCAAAGACAAAGCGCATCAGCTGCAAGTTCAAAGTGCAGGGAAGGCTAAGAAGCCGGATCTTCCTCGTGGCATTCTGTTTGCTTTGACAATTTTCACAAAAGTATCGGTTGTCTCCTTCTAATTTTTCTTCCTGATCAAGATGATGACATATTAGTTTTACCTGTGCTTATATATCCAATGTATGATTTTAAAAATCTAGGTAATTTTTTTAAGTGTCCCATCTACTTTGATGCAAATTTACTTAAAAATAGTGAAAAGGGGGCAGAAATTATATTTAATGGTATATATTTGCTTAAAATTACTAAATCAGGTTCATGAGATTAAGCCAAGAATGCAAAAAAAAAAAAAGAAAAAAAAAGGTTGGTTTCAGTGAGGTGTTTTTGCTTTTGCTTTTGCTTTTTGTTCTACAGATTGAGCCCAGGGGCATGCTTAACCACTGAGCCCTTTTTCTTTTTCAAATTTTCCTATACATTTCTATAACAGCTCTCTGATACAGATCAGTACAATACTGACGCCCTTCCTTTCCTCACTTGCCTTCCAGGATACCACACTCACCCACCATCCTCTAACTACACCCCTGGTGGCTCAGCCGGTTCCCTCAACTTTCTCCACTCCCTCAGCGATTTTGTGCACCCCAACTTCTCCCCAGAACTACACTTCTTAAATCTAATGAGGTCAAAACTTTTCTTTCGGGGGAGCAGAAACCAGGGGCTGTGCCTGCTAGGCTAACTCTCTGCCTAAGCTACAGCCCCAGCTCGATGCTCTTAGCTTCTTTCCCAGCCCTGTTCCCACCTTGGTCCTCCCATCCCAATAATGACATCTCCATTCCCCAGCTGATCAGCCCACAAACCCTTGTAATCCATGACTCATTCTCTCCATACTCAGTGTTGTTAGCTCTACTTTGAATATGTATGTAAAGACAAATAGTGTTTATCATCCACTCTTCAGCAAACCCTGGCCCCTGCCTCCACTCCATTCTCAAAACCCCACCTACAATGGTCTAGTTAAATGCACTGTATCACTCCTGTACTTATAAGCCCAAGGGCACCTGTATCTCAAAGCCAAAGTCCTGAAAAGGGTCTACTCTTCTCTACTTGGTCTGTCTGCTACAACCCTTAGCTACCTCATTTTCCCTGTGCTTTTTATTTGGCTTACTACCCCCATACCCCAGACTCCTTGCTGTTCTCAATCCACAGCATAATCTGACACACTATAATATATCTTACCTAAATTTATTTTCCTGACCCTCTCTGGTATTCATGGCTCTAAGCTGCCAGTTCCATAAAGGATAACTGTATCTGGTTTGTTCACTACTGTCATTCCCAACAGCTCAGACAGTGCTTGATACAAAGTATCAAAGATGATTACTTCAGGCATGCTAACAAATATGGCAGCGAAGTAGGTAAAGCACTTGAAAAATTAGTTATGCAATAAGCTGTGTTTATAATTGTAACAAAGGTTTCCTCTTAGTTTTCCACTCAGAACAAAAGGGAACCACTTTCATATCTCCACGTAAATAATCATTGATATAAAATATTTGCATTTAATGCGTTTTCATTCTCATGACATGAAAAGGTAAATCAATTTTATGGTCACAAAGTTCAGATATCCCCATCACACACACATACTATGCATGACTTGTAATAGCCAAAAATTACTTTAAGATGCAGCCTGCTTCAGTACCTTATCAAAAGTTTTAGATCATCACAGAACTTCTTACATCAAAAAGGCTGACATAATACATTTAAATACTATTCAGAACATCATTTTAAAAACAAACAATAAATAACAAAATGTGAATACCTTTAAAAATTCTGAGATACAATCTGTTAACTGTTTGTGGCCTTGGATATTTAATTCCAGTTCATAGAACTTTGATAAAAGCTTAGACTCTCTGCCACACTGATTGCAGCTACAATAAAATGAGAGTGACAAAATTAAGATCAGAGTGAGAAAAGCAATCATGTTTTATTATAGTACATCGTGGAAAGAAGCATCGTATCTTAATTAGTTCTCTTTCATAGAAATTTTGTACATACTAAAAAATTACATAAAAACAAAAAGTGGTAAGGCCATGAATTGCATGATCGGAAAATTTTAAAGAGGTAGTGTCCATCTCTGAGTGTTCTATCCAGCCCATTTTACTCATGCTTCACTCCACACAGCCATAAAGCAAATGGCAAAAGTCCAACCAGTTACAGTTCCCAACACCTGGATGGCTCAAATGCAATTATCAAGTGGTTTGCTTATGGGTTCCCATGGAGGCATATAACTATAAATATTCCAGGTCCCATGATCACCTATGAAAGCTACACCTGGGACCTGAACTGAAAACCAGATAACACAAGCAACTGTCTTAGGAGAAAATGTACCATGAGAAGTTGAAACAGACTTACACAGTTACATAAGCATATTCCCCACAGAACTGCTGCTGCACGATGTTCCGCACATCTGGATTCTTTTGTTTAGACAAAGTATCTTCCAATAAGGACATAAAAAGCTTTGAGAATTCTTGGGCATCCTACAAGTTTGGATTAATAAAAAGAAATACTGTATTTTTGCTTGTCAACCTCTAATACAAATGGTAAAAAAATTTCCAGAAACTACTGATATTTTCAAGTTAGTACTTTTGAACTAGAACTACCTGCCATGTGGAACCAGTTTTTACACGGGAATTTTCAGAAATGAAATTATAATGTGCAATGTAATGGATTATGTAACAGATAATTAATTCAAAATACAAAAGAATATGTAATTTTTTTGGCAGTACTGGGAATCAACCCCAGGGCCTTAATACATGTTAGGCAAGAGCTCTACTACTGAACTATACCCCCCGGCCCCACCCCACAAGTTAATTTTTAAAAAATGTCCTAATTCATCTTCCCTTAAAAGCATTGTAAAAAACACTTAAGAGACAGGTGCAGTGGTGCATGCCTATAATCCCAGTGACTTGGGAAGCTCAGGGCAGAGGATCTTGAGTTCAAAGCCAGCCTCAGCAACTCAGCAAGGCACTCTGAAACTCAGCAAGACCTTGTCTCTAAAAAAAAAATTATAAAAATGGGGACTGGGGATGTAGCTCAGTGGTTAAGTGTTCCTGGGTTCAATCCCAGTAACAACAATAACAACAACAAAAAAAAACAACAACACTTTTTTAAAAGATTTCTCAGAATATTAAAAAGTAAATAAAGTCCTTACCTGCTGTTGCCCAGTGTCCAACCCTAAGGCTTTAACAAATCCAGATGGATCAATGTATCGTCTATTACTGTTTTGCAATAAAGCAAACAAGTATTGCAAATGCTCACAAATTGTCTGAGGCTCATAATCTATTGAAAAGAAGTTTATTTATTAAAAGTTGGTACTTTCTATTTTAAAAGTCCTACTTCCTTTCCACTTGAGTACATAATTAAACATCCTTACATTTAAACTATACACCGTGGTGCAGGCCTATAATCCCAACAATTTAGGAAACTGAGGCTGGAGGATGGCAAGTTCAAGGCCAACTTGGGCAACTGATGCAAATAAGAACCTGCCTCAAAAATTAAGAAGGGCTGAGGCCCCTGGGTCCCATCCCCCCACCCTCTCTGACACACACAGACACACACCCACACTTTAAGGGAAGAGGCTGTATACATGGTTACACCACTAACACCAATAATGACGACTTTCTAGAGTATCAAATCATATTGAGAAATCCATTCTTTATCAAAAACCAGCATATGATGGCCAAACACTTTCCAATAATCTCATTAATGTGGACTTGCCACAAATGGAATAATTAAAAGAACCTCAAACACACAATGCTCATTTGAGTGAAAAAGATCAAATCCCAGGTTGGTGCAGCTACTGAACAGGCTTAGACGGGAGGATCACAAGTAGGAAACCAGTCTGAACTACACAGAACTGGTTTTATACATAAAAATACACATACTCCAGAATTTTCAAATGTTTTTGTGTTTTCCATTCTCTGATGCTGGGAACTGAATACAGGAATGCTTTATCACTGAGCTACAACCTCAATCCTACTTTTTGAGATAGGGTCACACCAAGAGGCTCATACTGGCCTTAAATTTGTGATCATCCTGCCCCATCCTCCCAAGTAGCTGGGATCACAGGTATGTGCCACCGTGCTGGGCGGTGTATCGGGTATTAAACTCAGGGGCACTCAACTACTGAGCCACATGCCACATCCCCACCTCTATTTTGTATTTTATTTAGAGACAGGATCTGAGTTGCTTAGTACCTCACTTCTGCTAACACTGGCTTTGAACTTGTAATCCTCCTTGCCTTCCCAGCCTCTGGGATTACAGGCATGGGCCACCATGCCCGTTGTTTTTTTGTTTTGTTTTGTTTTTGTTAAGACAGGATTTCACTAAATTCTAAGAGGCTATTAAGTTGGTGAGGCTGGCCTGGAACTTGTGATCCTCTTGCCTCAGCCCCCAGTGTCACTGGGATTACAGGTATGTGCCACCGTACCAGGTTACACCACTACTTCAAATAAAATAATATGAACACAGATTTAAAGATGCAGAACTAGCTAGGTATGGTGGCACATGTTATCTATTCAGGAGGCTGAGGCAGCAGGATCACAAGTTCCAGACCAGTTCTCAGCACCTTAGCAGGACTAGGGTGACTGTCTGTCTCAAAAAAGGTTGGGGATGTGACCCTGTTTTCAATCTCCAGATTAAAAAAAGAAAAGAAAATCCAACTACAGGAATGAAGCCTTGAAGAAATTACTTTGGTAATTTTTGTTAGAAATTTTTTGTTTTTTGTTTTCTTTGGCGTAGGGATCAAACCCAAGCTTGTTAGGCAAACACTACCACTCATCTATAACTAAGTCCTAAAGAATTTTTGAGCTAGGTGTGGTGGAACATGCCTGTAATCCCCCAGCAGCTTGGGAAGCTGAGGCAAGGGGAGCAGGAGTTCAAAGTCAACCTCAGCAATTTAGTTAGGCCCTAAGCAACTCAGTGAGACACTATGTAAAATATAAAGAAGGGTTCAGGATATGGCCGAGTGTTAAAGCACTCCTGAATTCAAGCCCTGGTACCTTTAAAAAAAAAAATTTATTTTTCCCCTAAAGAATTTTTTTTGAGCATCATGTTTTGAAGCAAAGATTGCTATTAACCAAGACCAAACTATTACCACTATCTACGGGGCTGCATGATGTCATGGGCATAAGAAACCTGCTTTCTGTCTTGGATCCAAAGACTTGGGCCATGCGCCCCTTTCAGAGAAGATAAAACGATAGCACAGGTCTTGGAGTTGGGAGGCACAAGTTGGAAGTTCCCAGTGTGAAGCCCCCAGACCTGCATAATCTTAAAACACACACCCCTACCTTCCAACTTTGAGAAGAATCTAATTCATTTCAGAAAGTCCCAACTCAAATAGGAAATCTCTAAGCATTAAAGCAATACCATTCAAAAATAATTCATATACTGTGCATGAAAATAAGTTTGTGGTTCCAGTAGAAATAGTTTGAAACTGATTCTGCCAAATTTACAGAGGACAGTAGCATGTCAGTGGTTGGTTTTGCCGTGGCTAATAAGTGAAATTCTCTAAAATTAAGATTAAACTTAAGTCAGCCAATTGGGAATGAGGCCCAAGGACTGTGGTTACACTGAAATATTTATTAAGTTTGTCAAACTAGGCAACAGAATAACAACCTTTTCTGCCTTACTAATTTTTACCAATCACTACAAATTAAAAGACTATAATCACAGGGTACTACACAGAAAATCTTTAGATTTAAGCTTACTAAGAATAACCAAATATGCTTCCTTAATTGGAACAGTAACCATTTTCATGTCAAAATGATCTCTACATAAGAGAGGGAGAAGGGAAACTACCTTGAATTCCGACTCCATTTCTATAGGACCCAGCAGGGAGCCTGGCGCCTGCCATGTACTGGTCATTTGGTTTCACTCCCTTCAGCTGGATCAGAAGGGCCCTGGCCGGCACACTCCCTTCCCAATCCCAACCCACCTTTCTCTTCTTGGACACCATCTCCCATTATGTAGTCACTACAGGTGCTCGGACACAAGTACAACGCCTGCCGCAGCTCCAAGTTTAAAAACCACACTTGAAGAAATGTGTTGACATAACAAGTGGCTCCCAGGTTCGTCAGGCCCACGAATGAGTTCTGCAGAAATAAGATCATGAAATTCATTCCCTTTTAAACAAAAAGTCTATAGGGAGCATTATTTAAAATTTTTCAGATTAAAGATTTTTAAGACTGCCCCAACCAACATGGTATACAGCCATCTTGAGCCTCCGCAGCTAGTGGCAAGCAGTCTTAAGGGAACCTCTGTGGTGGGGAAGAGACTGGTGGCATGGACTGCTCCAGCCACTCACACCCAGGTACTGCAGCAGGGTCCAGAAAAGGTCAGCTCTGAGCGTGACATACCCTTTCTATCTGCTGTACTTCTGAACTGCCATAGTTCAGTAGGACAACAAAGTTTCTAGACCGGTTCCTTTACATCCTAGAGATTAGAGATGAGGTATGGCAGACTGGGAATGGGGGAAGGGAGCAGGCTCTTATTCTTTACAAAGACTGAAAAATCCACAATTTTACACAGAATTATTCTTTTTTTTTTTTG